AACTCATTAAATATCGAAATTATAAGAAAAATTCACTATTTTTAATGATAGGAAATATGTTTTTCTTTTGGTACCGAGTGTATAGCCAACACATCCTTAACTCATTACAGGAGATAAATCTCGGTCAAGAACTAATAAACGAAGAGCTAGCCGAGCCTGAAGAATCCTTCTTATCAGGAGCCTCGTCGACATTGTCCTTGTCGACACGAAGCCACGAAATCACGACTGTTTCCAGTCCTACGTCCGTCTCCCCGTTACCGAAACGAGGTTTCAACTCCGAATCACTAGTAAAAGCTGAGCGTGAATCCGATTCGAACACGGAATCACTAAACACTTCAGTCACCGAGTTAGACAACATATCATCATCATTAAAAGTTGAAGAAATCAATCTAATAACACCTAACGTAAGTCTTTACTCTCCCTTATTTACAATAACAAAAAAATTACAGTGTCATCAATAATTAATTGATTTTCTTTTACAGGAAACTGTGGAACGAATCGAGGAGATCGACCTGGTGACTCCGAAGAAGGACGAGTCTAGTCGTTTCATCGCAAACGAGACAAAAGGATGGGCAGAAGACGGGAGCGGTGATTACATGAGAAACTGTGATAGCAATCGGAAATCTGGGAGTTCTCAGTCGAAACCGATGTCCTGCGCTCCGGGCGGATACGAGGACGAACTGACGGAAGACTCCGATCTCGAGCTGGGGTAAACCAGCCATATTTCTCACGCTTTTTCTCTTTTCTTTAGTATAGAACGTTTAAGCCTGATAAGATAAGCAACGAGATGTAGAATAGGGTTTAACTCTGTTTATGCTTCCTTCCTTTTGTATGAAACTGTATTTTTGTTTGTCGATTCAGGAAGAAGATAGAATCGTTTCCATTAGAGATCATTGCTTTAGAAAGATATTTAATTACTCCTAAGAGAATGTTAATTAGTACTGTGTTTGTATGCTCAAAGCGTGTGCCTTAAACTGCTTGTAACCGATTGAAACAGTGTATACATAAAAATAACGCGTAGAATCTAAGATCCGAGTATTAGATCTATAAGGAAAACCACGTAGATCGTTCTATTTTTGTAAGATAACTTAATTAGTTAAGAGCTCGTTCTCGTAGCCGATTAACAGGAAATAAATGATAGATTATTCGATTAATTTAAAACAATCTTATTTATTTCCTGTCGATGGGAGAAACCGCCAAACGATTTTATTATTGTACCTAAGATACCGCTTTTTTTTAGTTTCTCTTATTGTTATCAGAGATTTATTTTTGTTTAAACAAAAGGTCGCTTCGTCTAACGATGCCATAGATCTGTTCGTTTTACCTGGAGTTGGTATGAAATCTGAAGAACGCAAAGATTCTCTTCTAGCCAACTCCGGTTTTAACGTTACCGTTCACGATTTTTTTTAACAAATAAGTGTAAACGAAGCAAGATGAATAATAAAACGTGTTAAGATACTACGGCCGTCCGATGACCCCTAAACTCGGTCCCTTTCACTTTATCCAATCTGCTTTCTCGGATTACTACATCGTGATACAAGAGCGGCGATTTTTCGGAGTTCCACTGGTAAAAGTGGAGGCGCGGACAAGAAACGGGGGACAAAGAACTCTACCAGCGACGGTGCCGGCGGTAGCGGTAATGCCAAGAGAAGGACGAAGAAAGTGCGATATCGGAAGTTGCTGCACAGTGAGTAAAGAGAACTTGCTCATCCGATACCAGCTAAGAAACCGTATCCGCTTTTACGGTTTTCAACTACGGTTAGAAATCCGATTCGTTTTTACACCGCGTCCACTCCTAATACAATTTTACATATCATATTAATCAGTTGAACTTTCGAACGATTCGAGATTTAAATAACTAATTCCTCTTTAAATGAGGAGATATAAAAACTTGAAGCTGATTTTTAGCCAGTTTTTGGCTGGCGAGTTAATAAAGAAGTAATGACTATCTTGTGGAAGTCGTGGGGTTCGGTGATCGGGAAAAACGAGAAAGCTGCGGCCAAGCGAAACCGTATAAAACGACGGTAGCTCGACAATCTTTCATCAGTGCGAATATCTAAACCCAGTGGAAACGAGCAAATCTGCAAGATGAATAATTTGGTAATTATCGAACAAATTTTAAGGCTTCCAGTTACAATATAGTTTTATGCAAACCGATTTCGATACGTTTGGTCGTTTCTTTGATTGGGTATAACGAGCATGGTTCAAAGAGGCCGACAGTTTTGCAACAGACCACCACTAATTGGTCCCATTAGCACGACTCACCGGATGAACTTGTTCGACGATATCGCGCTCTTAAATTACGAGATAATTGCTCGGGCAAATAACTGATAAACGGAACGTGTTCGATCAATAACGATTAACAATTGAATGATTCGTGAACCCCGGTTTCTATAACTTGTTTAATTAAACGAGCAGCTTTAAGGATGTATAGGCTGTACTTAAACAATGCTTGCATGTTGAATTTGTTATTATAGATTCCTATTACCATTAAAAAACCACTTGTAATAAGTAATAGTATCATGTACAACTTTTACTTGAAGTATTCTTCGATATTTTGAGGAAAAAAAAATTTTCGATTTTTTTGAGATTTTTCCCAAGGGGTACCCCTTCAATTTTTGCAAAAATTTCGTTTTTTGCTAATAACTCCTGAACCGTTGGCCGTACGGGGATGTATATAGGTTCATTTTGTAGAGCTCGACGAGATCTACAATTTCCATGTAAAAACTTTTCGCTAGCATTAATAG